CTCTGGCCACTCTGCCGTCTGCCGCTCCGGTTTCTTTCCTCTTGGAGCTGGCTGCTCTTCCTGGGACACCTCAGATCCGGGCAGATAAACCCACTAAGCCCGGGGCACCCCAGCGGACCCGACTGACCAGTGGCCCCCTTTTCCTGCTTCGTCTGTTTTCCTTTTCCTCCCTTTGGTCAGCACCATTCCAGGCTGGACCCCCGCGGGGACCCAGCGTGCAGCCCCACCCGAGACTCTCGCCACCCCAGGCTGAGAAGCTGGAGCCTCCGTCAGGGGCTCCCCACAGAGCACAGCTCACGTAAACGTCTGCTGCAGGACAGCACCCCGAGAAACCCCACCCCGAGCCCCACCCAGCCCGGAATTCCCAGGCGCCCCACAGGAGATCCCGAAGGGCCACCGGCGTCAGCAATCTGGGAGACGAACCCCAGCCACGGCTGCCCAGGAGATAGGCCCATACGACCATGCCCCGGGAAGAGAGTGCCAAGGCCAGAGCCCGTGGCACAGGCAACTAGGAACAGAGCCACGCGTGAGAGGAAATACAAGCGACCAAGCAGGCCCTCCTGGAGGCCAGACACCAGAGAAGCCAGCCAACCTCCAGAACCCAGGAACGTGGACGCAGAGGCCTCTCTCTGCCGACACAGGATCCAGAGTTGCCATGATGAGAACACTTAAGGGGGTGAGAGAAAGTGCAGAAAGGGGAGAGAATCTAAACCATGAAATACGGGAGGAGAACGGGTCCGTAAAGAGGAAAATAAAGGATCTGCAGGACGTCAGAGTTCGCGGGAGGCTGAATTCTGGGGAAAGCCATGAACATAGAAGGAACGAAAGAACAAATCGGTGCTCCCGAAGATCCAGGTATGAAAATAAACAAGGAAAAGGAAAGGGAGATACACAGGGAAAAGGATGAAGAAATGCGTGGAGGCCTGCCTGAGGCTGAGGAAAGGAAGATAAGGGCCATAGGAGTCGTAGCAGCAGGTGGGGGGGAGAAAGAAGCAGCTGAGAAACGCGTCAAGGAAATAATCAAAGAGAACGACCCCGACCTGAAGGAGGAAACGCAAAAGACAGGAACTAACAATGAAACTGATGAGGGAGGAAACAGGTGAGCTCCAGAGGAGACCGATCAGGCCAATCAGACTTGTCTAAGAAACGCTGGGGCCACTCGGTACACACCAAGACAAACTGTAGCCAAGGCTCCTGTAGCCACACAGCCTCCCTCCGCCGCCAGTGAAAAACAAGGCCCTTCGCAGACAAACCGGTCTCCAGAAATTCATTACCTCTGAACCCCTGTTCCAGGGCAGCCCAGAGCGGACTGGGCGCCTGTCTGTGGGCCTCACCCAGGCTCACAACTCAGTTACACTGCAGGGACACACAGAGGGTCAGTAACGGGTTCATTTACAAAAGGGGACAGGAACAGGGACATCCCAGGGAGAAAGAGCAGGACGCCAAGTAACTGCCATACCTTATGGCTAGGCTGACTGAACACACCTGGCGGTCAGGAGAGCTGTTTCCCCAGTAAGAGAGACTGAGAAATGCAATGGTGCCTTATTTATCCCCCAAATGTCCCAGAATTCCTGCTAGCTCCGCCCTGGGGT